TTAGACAGCTGATAACTCATTCCCGTACGTCGTAACTCGATAATGACCTTTGCTTATTGTCACATGTGCGCCGCATTCGCGATTGTTGCCGACGCCTGTTTGCAGCTCAGTCCACTACAGTTGTTATACATATCGAAAAACCGATAAACTTTTAGGCGAAAAAGCACTATTCCAGGCCCATTTTTGATTTTTTTGCGATATTAGGTAAAAACGGAAGCTTCTTATCCTAGGAAAAATAAAATGGGAAATCTTTTAAAGGTGGCACACTACCTTTAAGACATGTTAGGAAGCGCAACTGGAACAGACCCATAGTGTAAAATTGATGCCCGGGAGGGTACCGAAAGTTTTGTGACGATCGGTGCAGTGGTTCTGGAGATATATCGAAAAGTCTGGGGGGGGGCAAAAATAGCCACCCCCCTCCACTGCAGTGGAGGGGGGGCTATATAATGGGCTAACCCCATGGGGTTAGCCCACGCCCTGCGGGGGGAGGGTGTTTGCACAGTGTATATAAATAGGTGTTTGAACACCCCCTTGTGGTATTTTCGGGAATATCTTAAAAAAGTGGTGGCGTGAAGCGCCGCCGTTTTTGCACACCTTAGGTATTATACATCAATTCTACATATGTTGTAAAAATTCTAGACCATGGTCATTCAAGGTCAGGTAACCACTAGGTGACTTCAATAGACCTCACCTCATAAAAAGTTTCAATGAGTGCCATAGCTACACAGAGAGACCGATCGCTTGGAAACTTTCAGCGATTGCTAAGAGGAATAGTAAGTATGTATAAAATATGTAGGTATCTCAGAACTTTGATGTCGATGACCTAAGCTCAGGTCAATTTTGCGACCTCCCCGTTATAGGTGAGTCAATGGGAGAAATTGAAAGGCGCCTCTTTTGGACGAAAGCCATTATAAACACTCCCAAACACTGAATTTCAAGTAAATAAGACACACTTAACATGAAAATGGTATCCGTGACCCCTGTTTATGCCCCTTAGGTCACCTCAGGTCACGATTACGAATGGTATCAAACAGTTTTTCGCGAATAACTTTTGATAGAGGCATGCTAGAGCGATGAAAACGCCTTGGATGGATGTGTTCAGGTCGACGATACGGATCGACTGATATGAAACATGACCCTTTTCGATCAGGTCATGACCTTGACCTGAGGTCAAATTTTCAAGTTGACCCCTTAACCCTCGCCCCGTTGGGGGGGGGGGTCAATTTGGCCCCCCTGTGGTTTTTCCTGAACAGCAAGAAAACGGCGGCGCGCAGCGCTGCCAAATTTTCAGTACCTTCCCGGGCATAAATTTGACACCTTCAAACATAATGTCAAGTCTTAGGTCACCTTAGGTCAGGAGTTATTGAGGTCAAACTGAGGTCATGTTCGAGTAAAAATGAGCAAAAAACATGCAATCTTGAAACGCTCACTAAATCTACAGTTACCAAGCAATTTCAAAGTTCTTTATATGGTCATGTAGACAAAAAGCGGCGCTACAAAATTATTTTCTTGGAACTTCAAAGTTTTGGGTTTTTGACCCCAAAAATTCAAAAAATTGATTTTTTTAAGAAAAACTAAAAAAAATCCAAAAAATCCGAACAAAAAACCGGAAAATATGTAATAGTCCTTGCGCTCTGCTATACACATATGGGAGAACGGGGTCAATTGTAACATTTTTTGCATTTTATCACTTGGTGCAAACACATTTGCAGTTATAAAGTTCTTTCTTTTATTATCAAAAACTACGATGTTTTGTCTTTAAAATGCAGCTAAAACATTTCCGAAATAACTTCTTTTTCGGGTCAAAATTGTTGTCTGAAAAAGTCAATTCAGCTGTTACAATTCACCCCAGATACGGGGTCAAAAGTAACACCACCCGGGGACAATTGTAACATGTTAACTTACAGGCTACAGCAACACATTTTTTTCCAAAAATTTGACTTAACGAAAGTATTGGACACTTGTTCATCTTCCCAGGCTTGGTAGGTACGTTTCTTCTCAGGAATAAAGGCTTAAAACCTCGCACTTATGCAGGGGTTGGATAGACCTCCTCTCCCTCGGTTTTTTCGCAAATAAATCGCGTAAAAAGCTGCCGATATTGCGATTAAACTTACAGTTCTCTTAATTCTAGCAATGTTTCGTCTTCCTTGAAAATTTGACGACTTTGACATAATGGGCACTGACCTATAGCCTGTTACATTTGACCCCTGCAAAAATGTTACAATTGTCCCCGTCGCGCCTTGACATATTTTAGCCGAAACTGGCGCAAAAAAGATGTTGCATGTACAGCATTTAATGCTTTCAATTTATGGGCAACAAGCCTGCTAACGCTTACACAAAGTCTGAAGTCGATATCTTTTCAATGGCGGGAGTGAGCTAATCAAATATAACGGTATAAAAATTTACAAAATGCTCTCAAAAACACATTACTGTGCACAGCCATCGACATACCCGGCACTTTCGCCTCAAACTCTGTTGGGAAAGGCAGTATAGAATTACGCATTTTTGGTCTTAACATCAGCTCATTCTATTGGTAAGTTTATGAATTATTAACACTGTTACAATTGCCCCGTGTTACATTTAACCCCGCTCTCCCCTACCTACCAAAATTTCAGATCGATATCTCGTTTTTTGGCCAAGTTATAGCGGAAAAATGTTCAAAAATGATGACGTCAAATTTTTTAACTCAATTTTTAGCGATTCTAGACCACGTACGGCAAAACAAAGACCACCATGGAACTCCCCGTTACAAGCTGCATCGAATCGATAACCATTTTATGCAAAAATATCAATTTTGAAATTTGACCTGATTTGACCTGGCCTTGACCTGACCTTGACCTGACCTTCACCAGAACATGATCTTAGCTAACCCCAAAGGCTGCCTGACCCACATAATGGTATTTGGCATATAAAATGGACCATAATACATGCATCACATGATGCTTTCATATTGTGACCCTCAGTGACCTGTTGACATCTGTGACCTGACCTGGTGTCAGTGACCTCAAATAGCAAAAAATGTGTTTGAAAAACATTTCCCCATCGATGATTTTCAATGAAATGCATTTTACTCGATTTTACAACGCATTTCTTGAAATGCCTGTAAACGGTAAAAATTCGACCTTTGACCTGACCTGTGACGTCATCGGTTTGACCTAGGTCAATGAAATTGGGTCACAAGGTAGCTCCCTGATGGCGCTATCCAACACCGTTTGCCGCTTGTCGCTAGGTTGCGTGGTTCTCAAGATCTTAGGGAGGGGCAAATTGCCCCCCCCCCCCAACAGGGCGCGTTGCTCGGCAGAGCCCAACGGGGCGCGGGCTAAAGATTAAGTAATTAGGTATACCTAGGTCATTCGATGCGTCTCGACGAGAGGAATACGATGCCGGTAAAAGTAAGCTCCTGCAATGCTTGACTCAAAAGTTATTGCAGAAAAACTGTTTCAGAAAAAATAGGCTAGTTTGTCAGTTTTTGCCCCCTGCAGGCCAAACCGTTGACGCTAGGTCAAATCTGAGAGAATTAATCAGAAAGGGCGTTAATGGGCTATCAAATGCGCTTTTCCGCGGCGCTGTAGCTCTATTGGTTCCCGAGTTATGCGTTGGCCTCTTGAAAATTGTCGACATGTGACCTGATAATCGGCGAAATTTTCCCTGGTGACCTCTGTTGACCTGACCTTTGACCTGACCAAAAAGTGACCAAAGTGATTTCGTCATTATTTTTGGCGCTCTTTTGGAACGCCGCCTTCTGCGTAGGTATCGCTACGTGGCCCAGGAGCCGAAAGGGTGGGGGCGGGGGTCGTAACCCCCTTCCCCCCGGTTCCATCCCCCGCTCGGTTCGAACGTATGTAGAAAAACAATTGTTAACACGCGCACCGACGGGAGGGCGGATATCCACCCCCTGAGGCTTTTCGCGAATAGCGGGAAAACCGCGGCGGAAATTTGGTACGACTATTTTCTCATCAATTTTACACATGGTGTACAAGTTTCAACCTCCTAACTTTTAAGGTAAGGTCACCAGGTCACATTGAATGACCCAACCTCAAGTCACTTTTTTTGCAACTTTGTCACCGTGCCAGAGCTACAGTAGATGTCGGAGGCCTTTGAAAGTCGCAGGATGTTATAAGGTCATTAGTGGCTACAATTTGTATATCTCGGAATTTTGATATCGGTGACCTAAGGTCATGTCAATTTCTCGACCTCTCCATGATAAGTCAATGGGGGAAAAATCAACTCCCTGTTTTTAGCACTAAAACGGGTCGGAATGGCCCCATATACCATACATGACTTCATATACGATCAAACTTCACTACCTTGAGGTCTGTTTTGCTGTTGGGTAGCTGTAAGGTCATGTGACGTCATCAAAGGTCACCAGCGTTTTTTTTTTTTTGCCAATAACTCCGTACAGGAACAAGATACAGCCGCGCGGATGGTCTCATTGTGTTCAGCTCGTCAAGACGCATCGAATGATTTAGGTACATGATGACCTCGAGGTCACGTGATCTGAGGTCAACCTTTGACTTGACCTTTCGAGGTCAACATATATATCATTCTAAGCGGATTGACGAGATCACGATGATGCCCTTAGATTGTTCCTATCTTGACTAATTCGAAAGTTTTCGAGAAAAACTCTCCATATCTAGCGCCGCCATTTTAACTTTTATGACCCCTGTAACGTCATCGTTGACCTGACCTGAAAATGACCTTAGTGAAAATTGTAGACCTTGTCCGTGCGTATCCCATGCCGTTTACCGCTTGTCGCTATCTTGCTTCGTTCTCGAGATCTCAGGGGGGCGGTCATCCGCCCCCCCCCCCCCGTCGGTACGAAGCTGGCGCAGGCCGCAGACCCCCGTCAGTGAGCGTGTTAAAACCAAAACCAAAGGTTTAATCTATGTTTTTTTAGGACATGCCCAGTTTTTTTTTTGCCTTTTGTTCCTTTCGATGACGCGAACAAATTGCAAACTCTACGTCATCAGATTTATGTTTGTCGCCGCGCCCAATACTTTGCCGCGCCGGCTGCAGCAGAAAACCCCTAAACAGCTGATCGCGGCTGAATGAAAAGTGGCAGCACTATCGCGGTCACGTGACCTGTCCTTTTTCGCTCGAGCCGGCTGGGTGAGCGCCTCGGGAGCCCCGTTGGATTGGTGGCACCGGAGCATTGCCGAGGCCCGTCCTTCCTGTTTTAATAATTTCCACCATCATGGCTCTCAGCAAGATATTCTCTGCACCTCTGCTGTCGAAAGTTCAGGTAAGTGTGAGAACGTGTTGTCCCTGACTGTGTTACAATTGTATTTGATGCGCAAGTTATGTATATTTTGCTGCTTTTCGGCGTATCTGCACTTAGGTGATAAATTTATGACATTTTTGCTTGCAATTTTCTAGATAATGCTCCTTTGTGCTGAATTTTAATTTTGAAAATATATTTATCAAATATGGTTCATTATCATGTATTTCAATGAATCCAACAACTAAAACTTACTTGAGAATGCATTATGCTCATTTAGTTATGCGTTTGCACATTTTTTATGCTTTATATCATGGAATCTGAAAACAGGGTGCCTGGGGCGTTGATCAAGGCTCTTAAAATTGTCATGTGACAGTCAAAATCTTAAAGGCATTTAAAGGGGGTGGATTTATCGGTAATCATGTACTTATATGCCCTTTGGCGCTCTATTTTCAGATTCCACCCATTATAGGTATAGTCTGTCTTAAAAGTACCGTGTAAAGTGACAGTGAATCTATCAAGCCTGACTGAGGAAGGGCCTGCTAAATTTGAGTCACCAAAGCAATTGACATCCTCATCCATTCCCCAGGTCAATTGGTTCGGTGACTTTGAAATTATAGCAGGCTCTTCCTTGGTCAGGCTTGATGGATCCACCATCATTTTGCGCGGTACTTTTAAGACAGACTGTACACATTTTATAATACATTTGAACCTGCTAGTGGCATGCTCATCTTGTTTTTCTTTGTATGTGCATAGACATTGCTTTTTATCAGCTCTGTTGAATTGCAGAAGAAATTGTTACTGTGAATTTTTATTTGGTTTTGGGTATGTTTTATCAGCTCTGTTGAATTGCAGAAGAAATTGTTACTGTGAGTTTTTATTTGGTTTTGGGTATGTTTTATCAGCTCTGTTGAATTGCAGAAGAAATTGTTACTGTGAGTTTTTATTTGGTGTTGGGTATGTTTTATCAGCTCAGTTGAATTGCAGAAGAAATTGTTACTGTGAGTTTTTATTTGGTGTTGGGTACACCAGCAACAAGACTACTTCACAATTCATTTTATTGGGTACCTTTTCAATTCAAAGTTAAAGAAACATCGGCATTTGGTCATCTAGTTATGAACAAGATTTTTGTGTTTTCTTTATTGTCCAATAATGTTAAGTTTCAGTTATTTCAGTCTTTCTGTCATATTGAAAACATATTCATCGAAATGTAAGAACCTGTTAATTTATTCAATATTCAACCACCAGCTGCCATGTAATCTTTTGAGGAAATGACTTATGTGACTCATATCCTTGCCTGAACTAGATTCAGGCACTAAATTTACAAGAATTGTTCAAAGGAAAGCTTGTGGTTCAATGATTTGGCATGCCTATATGACCATTTGTTCAAGCCAGGACTGCCAGGGATTTCTTATCAGGGAGACATCTCTGAGTAGGAAGTAATCCTAAGCCCTCACAGTTTGTGTATCATATATTTTCATGCTTGCTGTTTGTGGTCAGTTTGGTCACATGACTGCTGAATTTATGCACAATGTAGGTACTAGCAGCACTGGTTAATGTTTGCAGTAGTGAGGCCACTTCAGGTCATCAGATTGTGCTAACAAGTCTAAATTAAATTTAGTTGACTAGCTTGTCAGGTGAGCAATGTGACCTTCAAATGGGCTGCCAGATAAGATACTATGCAGCATGACCTCTATTAAGTAAATTGTTGTCTTGAATGACTTTTCTGACCTTGACATGAGGTCACAGGCCCATGTAACTATATTGTATACTTTTTTCGAATTAACAGCAGGTACCTATATCATTTGATGTGGCTGGGCAGTGGGCAAGGCGGTGGCTAAACCAAATATCTTCCACCATTTGAAAGGAGATGTTTATTAAAAACTGGAAGTGGACCCCCTACCTTGGGATCATTGACCTAATATCAGAGGTTGCTGAACAGCGTGAGGCCTGAAAAAAATAGAGATTAGTTGCTGCATGTATAACAGTCAACAAGCGCTTTTTCGCGAAACTTAGATCAAATAGCGGTACAACTTGCAAGAGGACCTGATCCCATTCCACTGTTTGGCTGGGATCATAGGCTGGGAATTGGGATGATGCTAAAAACCTGAAACAATAGGTCCAGCGGGGGTCAGACGTCTGGGAGCAGCGCCGTTCTACCAGCAGCGGCAGTTCCATCGACGCACCGGCTATCGGCTCCGATGACCTCGGATCGACTGTGTACGCCGTGTGTCGACCAGCGGAGAATATGGGCCAAGGCCGCCCCGCGACGATCCACGTCTGGTCCTTTTAGCAGCAGTGATACAGCAGTGCCAGTGTCTCTGGTCACATACAGTGTGAAGTTGTATCTTTAAAGTTGACAAACTTTTTATTGCTGTTCTCTTTGACCTGTCGCGTCAACATTCGTAACTCGCGCTGGCCGGAGGATTTGCCGTCGACAATGCCCGAAAACACAGATATGCACGGAAAACTGCCGTGGTTGAGGTCAATTTGGACAATTACCTTGGCTTTCGTTTTGAGTTTGAGCTCTGATTTGGTGCCTTCTGCTTTCCTCTACAGCATATAGATTAAGATGACTAGGTAGGCAGAAGATGACAAAATTTATAACAGGCTGATACGCTGCCCCTTTTCTGGTAAGGTCGTAACTGACCGACCTTGGGTCAAGTTTTCAAGCTGACCCTTTGAAAAGTTATACTTGATTCCACAATGATCTTGAGAGGTAGGTATGTGAGCCGGTAAAATTTGTGCCATGCATGTTTTGTATGAAAAGTTATTGAAAAGGTGCATTTCCGCAAAAAGGTCAATTTTGACGGTTTTTCTCTCTCTGGACCAGTTGATCTGATGTCAAATCAATGATATTTCCATAGAGAGCTTTAAAGGAGCTACAGAATGCGCTTTCCTCGGTGCTGTAGCTTCATTCGCTATCGAAGCTATGCGCCTTTCAAAAATTGTCGAACTATTCGAAATTTGCCCTTCGATGATCTCTGGTTACCTGACATTTTACCTGACCTGATAAGTGATAAGTGACCGAAATAAGTGGTAAACGATCTTTTAAGACTTTTTTTCAAATGCCGCCTACCAAATATTTATTGCCTGCTCTAAGCTAGAATTATATAGATAAGAACTTTAGAGATAATAAGTTAGATAAGCGTCCTTTGTTTTGAATGACAATGGTCGTTAATAGGTATCACTTAGAAATCAATGTCATATCTAAAATATGTTGTTTGTGACTGTCCGTCGAAGGAAAAGAATAACCCTCGCCGGCACAGGCCATTTTGCGCCCTTCGATGGCACAATGGGGGGATTGGTATGACCCCCCCCCCCCCTCGCGTTTGGCCCCTGATCGAGCTAGAGCTTCGCGGAAAAAACGAGCGTGCTGCCCGTCACGGGAGGAAGCCGATGATACCCAATTTTAAGGTCCTATGTCATCGGTTGACCTTCCAGGCCAGGTCAATGACCCAAAAGTCGGGAAAATCGGGACCTGTTAGAACAGCGTAAGGTGTGGCTGCTATGGTTTTTTCGGGGTGCTGATCACGAATATCGTGTTAGTTTTGATCACAGATGATGTCTCCATGCATTTAGGCCGGGTCAGGTCAGGTGAGGTCAACCAGTAGGGGTCGTGACGGGTATTTTTAGTACGTTTCAACCGCCTCTGACGCTTCGTAACTTGTTACGAAGGCACCAAAACTTCTTCGTAGGTGTTCAAATGGTTGCTAAATTCGAATTCAGCTCCAAAAACTGGCCTAGGAACATGTAAAACTCGAAAAAGTGAACTGAGGTCATCAAAGGTCAGTGACCTGATCTGACCTTCAGGTGACCTTGACATCCACCCTAGTGCATGGGAACAACATCAAATCACATGTTCGAACGTTTGGAACCACGAAAAGATTGCAAACGCGCGACTAATGCGAGCCGACATACGCCGAATCGCGATTCCGGCCAAACATGGTCTCGGAAAGTAGGTCACAGGTCAAAGGTCATTTGGGTCAGGGTCACGAAATTTTCAGGGTAGTTGTAAAATGATCAACGCGAGGGTTCTGAAAGTTTTGTCGCGATCGGCCGCTTTTTACGCGAGTTATTCGCGAAAAACCTTTTGGGGGGGGGGGGTGCATGCCGGCGAGGGATACCGTCATCATTATCCCTTGCCGGCGAGGGATAATGATGACTCCGTTTTTCTGCTCCTGCGATATGAAGGTTAACGATAATGTGCAGGAGTGTTATCCAAGTGTCTGTGTTTATGTTCACCGACATGTGAGGTCCCAAATGATATACACCATCCGAAGGGTGAATGAATTTAAATACACTCTTGGAAGTTCTGTCATTGCCTCAGAGTGCATACTGTTTCATTACAATCCTCTGTTCGTTCAATCATACAATTCTTCCGTTGTACAAGTTGTGCTATGTTAACGACGCAGCCGTTTCCAAATCTCCTGTTTGAACCTGAGCCCCACCTCTCGAGCTCCTCATGATCTAGCTGAGGGCACGTTTCAACTGGATGGATGCTCTGCCATGAGACGTGAGCCGGGTCACATCCGGGGGAGGGGCCACGTGGACGGACTCGGCAGCAGCGTGCCGGGCGTGACGGCGGGTACAGCGGGTCACTGATGGACCCAGGTGGGAGTGTCAATTGGACGCGCTCGTGACTCCGACAGGTTATGGAACATCTTATGAGCGGACGTCGGATCTGTTAGTTAGAAATAAGATCAAGCTCTGTGAAAGGTATTTAATATATTGTTGTGTATGGTATGTAGGTGGTGGCTCGGAGTAGGCTCCGGCAACCAATGCGCGTTGTGTTTGTTGTTCACAAACGAGAGCCTGCGAAACGCCAGCAAGTAGCTTTCATACATGGCAGAACCACCGGAATACTGATAAAAAACTGACATCAAATGGCGCTCTGCTTTCGTAAATTAATTTTTGCTGAACATTCTGATTCGTAGGTATACCGTCTGCCGGTTTAGCGGTGTAAACACGTGTCGTTACGCGGTACCGGTGTCGGCTCCCGCCCGCGGTGGTGCGGCTCCGACATCCCGGCCCGCCTCTGACGGCCGATAACCGTCCAAGGTCAGAGGCGGCGGGCCCGCCTCGGCCGCCGCAGGCTTGTTGTGGCACATTCAAAACGTGCACAGCGGGGCATATACGGGTGAATTGTACTGGGGTGTATCTTTACTTCAGCGTTTTGTGCTATAATGGGTGTCATTTGTTCACTGTATGGCCCTATTATGTCGCTAATCGTGTATTGATGAAAAACAAACATTGGCATGCTCCAGGCCACGGCTATAGCTCCAGGCATTATTTTCACCCGTTTGTTCATTCGAAATTGTGTTTTCGCAATGATTTATAATTAAACTTTAAGTCTACTCATGGGATGCGGCCGCTCCTATCCGGAGCTGTCCGAGGTCGCCCGTTTCCAATTACCATAGCTGATCCATCGGTCCCCTCCCTGTTACCGAGCTCGCCGCCAGTCCGCAGCGTTTGCCGGCGCTGCTGTTAGCAGTTAGCAGCGTTTGCCGGCGCTGCTGTTGGCAGTTAGCAGCGTTTGCCGGCGTCTCCGGGCGCTGCGGCCGGTGAGCGGGAGAGGAGCGGGAGTCCGTGTCAGCAGTCCGTGTCTGGACGGGCCGGCACCTGCGGACTGAGACCGACTCCGCTGGGAAGCCGACAAACCGGCCGGCGAGCTGACGACGGGGCTGGTACTCCGCCGGGGAGGGGAGGGGGCGGCTGGGTGGTCCGCCCGGCCAGGTGGCTCAGGCTTTCGCCGGCTGACGACCAAAGGTCTCGGCTTTAGTAGTTAGTTTAATTCTTTTCATCTCGCTTCAATCAACTGCGATCCAGAGGTTCTGACAGTTTCGTGTTGTCGGTGGAGATATTGAGAAGACTTATATTCATCCACATTTATCCAATGTGGTTTCATTATTTTGGTCAGAATTTATTCATAGTTTGTGGTGGAGAAACTGAATTCGGAAGGCTAGAAGCCGCTGGCTTACGTTATAATTTATATCTGGTAATTTCTAGAAGTGCAAGATTGGAGAGTATGAATGCTGATATGTAACGGTCAATCCCTAATACCTAATTGTTAATGATTCGTGGACATGACTCACACATTTTACAGACGTGCACCATCGTTGCCGTTTCCGGCGTCTGAAGATGATATGGACGTTAATGCATTTACGACTCGTGGTTCGATGGGTTTGGTACCCAGTCGCCTATCTGACCTAAATTGAGTTACGATAAGCACCGCGATTGTTTATCATGGCACTGTGCAACTGCAGTCTGTATTAGCAGACATCTCATTTGAGATAGGTAAATGGCGTCTGCTGGTGATGAAATCCGTATTATTAGTCACCAATGTCGGGTGAAGGACCTGTGTGCACAGCCATACCTGACCTGTGTGCTCATAGTGGTGGTTCAATTACTTCTAAAATTGGCTGACTGATTTCGGAGAGATATCCGACTTGGTGAATTGTAAAATATCAAACCATTGTCAAGTGGCCTGTGGCATGATTTGCATCGCATCCTCCGTCACATTGTAGGCTATACTTTCTTGCGTCGACAGGAGCTTGCTGCACGGGCTCCACAATTCATACACAATCCATGTGACCTTCCCCATCTAGCCTACCCGCGCCGATGACCACTGTAGTCCAGGCGCCCAAACACCCCAAATAATCATCATCATCACCAAACCTACTCTGACCTGCTCCTTCCATCTTTCCCCAAGCTCGCCAGTGACCGTTTTGATGATCGTATCTTCAATGACCTTTTCACAAGTGACTACCATCGCTACTCTTACCATCACTGGCTTGATTATTGATATCTGACTACCATCGCTATCCTCCCCCCCATCGCCGCCACCCTTCCCATCCTACAACTGCCGCTATGGTTCTCCCACCGCTGACCGCCGCTGTGTCTCCGCTCCGGCAGCATGTGGCACCCGTCTCTGTGTGCTCGCGGCTCATGTCGTCCGGACCGGACTCGGAGCTGCGCGCCGCCCTCGCCGCCAAAATCCCCGCCATGCAGAACGAAGTCAAGGAGTTCCGCAAGCAGTACGGCGCCACCAAGGTCGGCGAGATCACAGTCGACATGGTGAGTCCGATGCCGTTGTGTGATTGCAGCTGAGACAGTGCTCGACTTTCTATTGTGATATTTGCCAATTATTTGCCTAAGGCACGGTGCATTTAAACTTGAATAGGGATACCAGCAAAGTGCTCGGCTTAAGTTACTGTGCTCATTAAGTCATGAAGCCGTTTACTGTAATCATCCACTTTACACGTATGTGAGATGCGACGACAGATGTACTCTGCTAAACGCTGAGGGGCCCCTTGACTGTCACGCTCGACATGGGTCTGAAAGGTTCCAGGATTTGGACTGTTTATTCGTGGTAAGTTTTTGCCAGTGGTCGCGAGGCTGTCAGGCTGTTTGTCAAGCGTAGCAACTTCTCTCGGCCGGGCTGGAATGTTTATCCATACAGTGTCTTGTTGCTGACTCTATGTTTTTTTGTGCTCCTCGAAACCCAATCGTGAAATCCGCCATGGATATTGAGAGCTTTTGAATGCATGACGTTGAAAGATTTCAGTGTGTTGTTATCACTGCAAACAAGCGCTTTTATAATTGATGAGTTTGAATGTTCTCTCTGAATTACGTAAGAGTCTCACAGATTCACTGTATGGAGCCACGCTTTTCTATTCCATCTTTATCACTCCGTACTATATGTCCCTCGCAGTTCGCCCTCGCCCTGTCCACCCACCCCTCTCCCAGACCGCCCTCCGCTGACCGTCCCGTCTCTCTGGTCAGATGTACGGCGGTATGCGCGGCATGAAGGGCCTGGTGACGGAGACGTCCGTGCTGGACCCCGAGGAGGGCATCCGGTTCCGCGGCTACAGCATCCCCGAGTGTCAGAAGCTGCTGCCACGCGCCGCCGGCGGCGAGGAGCCGCTGCCCGAGGGCCTCTTCTGGCTCCTCCTCACCGGCGAGGTGCCCACCGAGGCGCAGGTGCGTGTGTGTGGGGGGGGGGGACAGGTGTGACTGTCGGGGCGGGGTAATTTACGGGTGAAATGGCTGGGTGAGAAGGTGTTGTGTATGTGTATTGGGGGAGAGATATGGATTTTCTGGGGCGTAGGCTGGTACAAGGGCTCAATCGTGGATATGATATGTCGATATGATATGATATGTATTCTCGGTGATCCACACATACATCGTGGTTTTTCATACACCGCGTCGGTATAAAACACACTAAAAGATCCTCAATAGGTACAGATAAAAGCAATGGGTTAAAAGAAAAGCGAGCAAGACAAGCAGTTAAAAACTTACACGCACACATACATCACTCCCACGCAGCCGATGACGTCACTCACAGTCTATCAGATGGTTTTTGAGCACGCGCTTAAAGCCGCCGGCACCCGTCTCCCGCACTGCCCGCGGTAACTCATTGTACAGTGCAGGAGCAGAGTAGGCAAACATACGCTTCCCCAACTCGGTTCTGATTGATCTCGGTCTATATTGCCCTGCGCGACGCGTGTTGTGACAGTGTTCGTGCACGCTGATGTTTTCCGCCAACGAGAGTGGTTCACCACATGTGATCACTGTACGGAATGCTGTGATGGTGCTATATTGGTAAAGCGAAGTGGCCCGTAGCCACTCCAGCGAGCGAACTGCATCACTAACGTGGTCACGCTTGGATCGGCCTGTGACTGTTCTTGCACAGAAGTTTATGATCTTCTGGATGCGATCACGAACTTCTGAAGATGCATTTCCGTATACTGCCAGGCAGTAGCGGACTCGCGACATGACCAGAGCATTGACCAACATCACCATGACGTCACGAGGTAGCCAATGGCGGGCAGCTGACAGACCCAAGAGTACGCCCGTGCATGTTCCGGTCACCTGGTCTAAGTGCGGACGGAAGGTCATGTGGCGGTCCATCGTCAGCCCCAGATTACGCACCTTTGACGTTTCAGTGATCGTTTCGCCACCAAAATTTATTTGGATGGGCGGGAGGCCCTGTAGCAGCTGCTTTGTTCCGAATGTCACCAACTGCGTTTTTGCCGCATTAATTTTCATTTTCCGACTTGCAAACCATTTGCGAACTGTGACCAAAGTTGCCTCGAGTCGACTAATGAGTTGTGGCAAGTCCTCCTTTTTTCCACAAACGGCGATCTGGCTATCATCAGCGTACTGGACTCGGCAGTGGAAAGCTGCCTGTTGCTGTTGCGTACATGTCGATGTGAGCATTGAACATTGGCACTGAACAGCTGACATCACCGACACTTTAACAGGCGCCTGACACGTGACTCGTCCTTTCTCCCCCTCAGGTGAAGTCTGTGTCGAAGGAGTGGGCCGACCGGGCCGACCTGCCGTCGCACGTGGTCACCATGCTCAACAACTTCCCGGCCAACCTGCACCCCATGTCGCAGTTCTCGGCCGCCATCACGGCGCTCAACTCGGAGTCGACGTTCGCGCGCGCCTACTCGGAGGGCGTGCACAAGAGCAAGTACTGGGAGTACTGCTACGACGACGCCATGGCGCTGATCGCCAAGCTGCCCACCGTGGCGGCCACCATCTACCGCAACCTGTACCGCGACGGCAGCGGCATCGGCGCCATCAACCCGGACCTCGACTGGTCGGCCAACTTCTGCCGCATGCTCGGCTACGAGGACGCCCAGTTCACGGAGCTGATGCGGCTCTACCTGACCATCCACAGCGACCACGAGGGCGGCAACGTGTCGGCGCACGCCACGCACCTGGTGGGCTCTGCCCTCAGCGACCCCTACCTGTCGTTCGCCGCCGGCATGAACGGCCTGGCGGGCCCGCTGCACGGCCTGGCCAACCAGGAGGTGCTGGTGTGGGTGACCCGGCTGCGCCAGGAGCTCGGCGGAGACGTCACCAAGGAGCAGCTCAAGGAGTTCATCTTCAAGACGCTCAAGTCCGGACAGGTGCGTGGGGTTACGGGAGGGGTGGCGGGGCGGACTAGGGCTGTCCTAGCAGCTGCTGGGGCGGGGTGTGGGATGCTGTGGTTACTCCGGCGTTAGATGGCGCTAGATATGCTCATTGCTAAGCAGTCGCTGTGATTCTTTAGAAGGCAGAGACGTGCCAAGCCGTTTGTGGTCAGAAAATCGATGCCTTTTGTTTAAATGGTTACATGCGCCTTTAGTTCTATCCACACATGTAGGAGAGGCTTCATACCACCGGTATCTTATCATTTCACAGCTACTGTGACTTAAATATCTTGCTAGACAGACGCTCGGTGCTCATCTGATTCTTGTTTTTGTGCCAGCATCCACCGTGCTCTTGGGAGGCCTAGCAGGTTTTAACACCGTGCTCGTTTTTTAAGAGGAATTTCCCGAATTTCTGACAGTATTTCTGTTCATTGCTGGCGCTCGCACTCGTCTTCCTCCGTCCGTTTCGCTTCTAACCCCTGTCTTTGATTCCCCACAGGTCGTGCCCGGCTACGGCCACGCCGTACTGCGCAAGACCGACCCGCGCTACACGTGCCAGCGCGAGTTCGCGCTGAAGCACCTGCCGGACGACCCTCTGTTCAAGCTGGTCGGCCAGCTGTACGAGGTGGTGCCGCCCATCCTCATGGACACCGGCAAGGTCAAGAACCCGTGGCCCAACGTGGACGCCCACTCTGGCGTTCTGCTTCAGGTGAGTGGCGCCGCCACGCGGCCCAAACGGGAAACGGTGCCCGAATTGTTCTCTCGGGGGCAGGAGTCAGATACCCCTTTTGACGATGTTGTTCGGTCATGTTCGAAATGTTATTTTATACTTTTGAACAGATGAATAATGAAAAATATAACTTTATTTTCCAACTGTAATGACCCGAGGAGTTGCACATGTTCGTCATTTGGTGCTCATTCTTTGTATTCTCCTTACTGACCAGTGACCATCCCTCTGTCCGCCCTCGCAGTACTACAAGATGACGGAGATGTCTTACTACACGGTGCTGTTTGGCGTGTCCCGAGCACTCGGCGTCATGGCCTCGCTGGTGTGGGACCGCGCGCTCGGCCTGCCCCTGGAGCGGCCCAAGTCCATGTCCACCGAGGGCCTCAAGAAGCTGGTAGGCGCTGCGTAACGGGCCCTGCTGCCTGCGAGTGAGTGTGCGCGCGAGCAGCTCGAACGGTAGCGCTAGCAGTCCGGCGGCGCGCCGCCGATAGCAGCGGACGATCAATGCGGGGGCGGCGGTGGGCCGCCGCGCCGCGCCCAGTGTGTGCAGTCGCCCTCCGCTCGGCTGGTGCGGCCCTGGCGTGCCGCCGGCGCCCTTGTTGGTGTTTGGGGGCGCCCGGCCGGCCGGTGGGGCCGCGCGCTGTGCTATCTTAGTTCCTCCTTTGAACACGATCAGCCGAGTACAAAATTTCCATAATTTATGGCGGCGCCGGCCGGACGGCAGTCGGTGGAGGACGAGGGCCGCGGCCCGCGCGCGCTGCCGGCAGCGGGCTGCGCGGCCCCGGGTCTGGCCCCGTGGGTCGGTCCGGGGCCGCCGGACGGACGGGACGGCGGGAGGGGGCCGGCTGAGCTGTGGGTCCGAGCTTTTCCGTTCGAAATCCCTGACAGGCGGTGTAGGTTCTTGACGATTCGGTTTGTCGGTGATCAGTTGTGGCGGTGAATGACTGTCCCCTGGACTAACAGATTGATTTTAGATGTACATGTACATGGCCAATGTCAATAAATGGGAGCGAGATGGACTTTGCGGATTTGTTTACCCCAAATCGCTGCAATCACGGGCGAAAAGGAACGCTGATAAATGAGGACTGCTATAGTTTCATTTGCGCTTTCGCCTACGCTCTCGGCTCGCTGCTGATATTGCTTACTGCTTACTGCTCATCAGCCTTGAGAGGCGAGATGTAGAGGATTCCTCATGGCTCCGAGTGGAAGATCAAATATCTTTTTCAAAGGGTTTTCTGTAAGAAAACAAAGCTGAAGGACCGGGGAGGGCCCGTATTATTTGACAGAAATGTCTTCTCTCTGCGAGGGATACCCTGTTACTGATGCGTTACAATGTCGCGGCATTTTGTGCTGTGGACAGGCTCCTTTGTGACGCCATAGGTCGGCCACCTGACCTGACCTGATTCTCTCCAGTGTTACATACGTGATAGACGTGTGCTGGACTCGTTATGTTGGTGTCTCATTCGAAGGTTGAAAATGAACTCGGGAGTGAAAATGAGCCTAGCCGACCCGTTCACCTATTTTGCTTTTTCATTTTATTATTTTAACATTTAGCCCAACCTATCACTAAGTCAACACCCGCGGGTCAGCGCTTCGCTGTCTTTGAAAGTCATCAGTGTTCTGCCACCGATTCAATTTGCATGTCTTTAACACGTCCCGTTAACTCCCTATCAGCTATCTGTCAGTCTAACTGGCCCAAGTGGTTCCGGTCGTGTCACTCACATTAGCGCCTGCCGACCTGTGGCGTTCTGGCCATGTCAGCCCGTCTTATCAATCACATATCACACCTAGTAGAAAAGTATGTAAGGCGTAAGAAAGTAAGAAAGGCAATTTTTATTTATACATACTTTTCTACTTATGATGATGCTCAAAGATGCCATTGCTCGCCTACAACACATATCACACCTCTAAAGTGCCGACCGTCCTGCTGACAGCCGACCGTTCTCCTCTGACAGCTCCCCTCAACCGTCCGCTGACAGCTAGACGACTGCGGATTCCCGGCCCAGGGCCCTGTTTCAGCGTATTGACGCTACCTGACGCTACCGGTATGGGCGCTCGTTTTCCATGGAAACGCAGGGTGTTTCACTAAAAGTGTCAAAAAGTAAAAGGCCCTAATGCACATAATAACAATGTTTTCTATGGACATTTGCACATCAATTCATCCGCGATTGTTGGACATTTGAATATATAAAAATGATATCACCGTCACTCAAACCTATTCCACATATCCGCCCCTTCTTTTGATGCACCGTTTCGGCACGTGTCCGGAGGTGCCTCACAGCCCGTTTTCATCTTCAGCGTCCATACTGTCGGCAAAGCCTTGCATTGTGCTCTTCAGCTCCCAAAGTGATGCGACTTGAGTCTTCCTCAGCTCTGCGAGAGCTACTGACCAAAACCAGAAGGCTAGCGGTGACAGATCGGGGCCTCGCGCTGGCCAGGGGCGGGCGGTGAGGCAGCTGATTATTCGGCTCGGGAACGGAACTTCTGGTCCAGCCTGTTCTTGGTGGCTACAGCCGTTACAGTGGTTGTTTTTGATAACTTGTAAGGGCTTGGCTATTTCTGATGCTGAAATAAGCTTCTTATCTTAAAAGGCCCTAAAAAAGACCCTGACCTTTTCAACGATTCCCGCCGAGAGGTGGGGGCGACCCGCTTTTTTTGGACTGGAACCGGCATCAAAGGAACCCTTTTAAACCTCTCAAGAAGCCCTTTGAAACTTTTATAATCTGGGTCGTAGCGAGGTGAGAGAGTGAAACGTTTCCTGAAAAGTCGGCGTACGGTTTCAATGTTTCTGATAGCACCAAATGTAAGTGTAATCCACCGCTCCTGTTGCGATGTAAATAACCTGTTCTTGTTCTGTATAAGGGAAAAAACGACAAGTAACTTTGGCCTCCTGCCCTCGCTCCATATGAGTGTAAAATATATCTTAAGTGGCCAAAGCATAAATGTCCAAAAATTTGCAACAAAGCCACGTGCGCAACCACGTGCTTTGCGTATTTTATATATCTTTAATAAGCATTTACTTTTTGACACTTTTAGTGAAACACCCTGGAATTGCCAATTTTTGCCAACGTTTCCATAAAATGTTTCCTTTGATGAAGCTGGGTAGGTAAATGATAAGATTTTAGAGCCAAATACGATATTTAACACAATTGTGTTTCATATCATGTTCGTATGGACAAAGCCTACACACTTTGCCTTCATGACGAAGCATTTTCTCATGATCGTTGCCAGGTACTTATAACGCCTCTTCCTGTTTATTTTGGAGGACTTTTAGTTTACTCAACGTCATACAATTACACAGAATACATGACAACAAGAGCGAGATTACTGACCATCAGACAGGTCGAGGTCAGGCTCAGGTGCACAGAGATTTTGTGGTCGCCTTTCCCGTCCTCCGTAACAAATTGACAGAGACATCGTTCTGCTGAAATCCGTCTGTAAAAATGTGCCACAACGCGTGGCTCAGTGTATCCGCAATCCAGTCGGTCAAACGTAATGTGACACGTGTATCACGGTGCCTTTATTAACTATGGAGCTGCAATATTAAGTACATGACCTCCACCTAAGGGAAGGACAAATATTGTTTAATGCTAGCGTATTCAAAAGGCCTTCACGATCATTCATCCCGTGTCCGTTGACGATTTTGTGTCTGGAGCATGATTGAACGCACCGTCAGATATTTATGTGTATGTATTCACACAACTCTAATATTTACACAGGTATCCTTATTTGTATTGCTGGCACAGCATCTGATTGCGTGTCAGGTCAATCAGAGGCGCACCCAGGCACGCTCAATGTGCGGAGCTTCCCAAAGAGGCGTCGTTAGGAGTGTGATGGTGAGGGTGACAGTGGCGGTGACGTCGGGGGCAGTGGAGGTCCCTGCACGGGTGACCCTGAGGCGGCCGCCCGGTCAGATTGTTTTATAGATGGAAATGTATGAGCTCCATGCGTGTAATGCATGGACAGTGTACAATCTTTGTCCCGGGTGGGAAATATGTTTTCGGCCTTCTTCATGAACGTTTCATTGACGAAGTTTGCGGCCTCGTCCATATGAATGGAGTCATATAGACGTCGTCCATTTTTTACGAAAGAAATGTGACACATATATCCAGTTTTATACAGGGTGTCCCAAAAATAATGTCACACTTTTCCAGCAGGGATGCGGAGCCGTGGAAATTTCAGACGGCTCCGGCTCCGGCTCTGGAGAAAAAAAAAATCGGCTCCGGCTCCGGCTCCGGGTGAAATGCCATGGCGGCTCCGGCTCCGGCTCCGGCTCTAATACTCCCCTATCCCCTATGCAATTAAGTACGGGTGGAAGAAAAAAGACTATGGGATTGGTGTACGTTGCTTCTGTATTTGCATAGCAAGGCGATTTTCATATTTTCAATACGGCATGTTTTACTGCCTTGAACTGTCAAACCGAACTAGGTCAATAATTTTTTCCTCTTCAAAAAAGGAGCCGGAGTCGCCCGCTTTTTTGACGGCTCCGGCTCCGGGCAAAATATGCCGGCTCCGGCGGCTCCGGCTCCGGCTCCGCACCCCTGCTTTCCAGCGTCAATTACATGAAAATAACAAACACGAGAGGCGCGCTTTTCTTACATATGTATCCCACCTTCTCCCTGATACGGGCAAGCATACGGTCCGGGACATCAGACGTCAACATGTCCAGCTTCTGTGGACTGATCTTGGACCAGACAGATCGAACGTTCCTGGTCAGCGTGCCTTCAGATTATCCTGGTGCCATTTTGTTCACCTCTTACCGGACGATCGCACTAGGATTTTCAATCGGCGACAGGTCGGAACTATTTCTCGGTCATTTGTCATTCTCCCAGAATGCTGGGAGGCTCGCTCTGCACCAGTCCTTCGTCATCCTAGCTCGATGAGCCGGGACGCCGACTTGTTGAAAGGTGGCCCTGGACAGTGGACATGTTCAGCAGAAGTTTTTTGCTGGAGACGTGGCTTGGTGAATGGTGGGCTTCAGCTTTACAGACATCCACCGGTACCGATGGATTGTCGACTTGGAGACTGGATGACTGTTGGCTATCAGCCTCCTTGCCAGATACCTTGTTGATAAGCCCGTCTTTAGCTCCGCACTTCGCGATGACGATCTGCGCTACCCGGCTGGCGTAAGTCTTCCTGCCGCTACCCAGCTTGTTCTCAGGCGTCTATCCGCTTCTGTCGCGTGACAACCAGCGCCAAGTTGTGCGGCAACTCATGCCCATTGCCTTGGCGACCTGGCCGTGGGTCATGCCGCCGGCAACCACGCCGACTGCCCCGCTGCAAGACAATTTGCCCTGCAAATTTGCCATCCTGGACACCTGGTCCGCGCACGCTGGATACTGCCCCGGAAATGACCTCCGTAGCGTACACCCCTTGACCGGTCAGGGTCACAAAAATTTGAAGGTCACGTGACTAGAATGTAGCCAATATGGTCTGGGAGCCAGTACCTACCGGCGAAATAATATTGATATTGCGCCGCAGAAGGCAAAATAAAGGCAGTGGGAGGGTGTGACATTAACCCTCGCCGGCCGAGGGGGGGGGGGCGGGTGCCGCCCCCCCCCCATAGGGTTTTTTCGCGATAGCTCCGAACACGCTGGCGATAGAGAGCTGAAACTTGGCATACCTGACCTTTGATCCAAGCCGGATCTTTTGACACCAACCGCATTTTTGGGTCAGGTCAGGTCACTGACCTATGACGTCATAAGTGAACCTCTGCACGGTCTTCAGATGTCGCAACTTCGCAACGCCCTCACTGCCAGAGGAGATGTCACAGGGAAATGAAACTTGCAGGATCTAGTATCCATTATGAGTTCCACAACTTGTATATCTCGGATTTTTCCTAAAGGTCATATGAGGTCAGGTCATTTTCGTGACCTCACCATTATAAGTCAATGGGGAAAAATAAAAACTGCTATTCTGGCGCCGGGAACGATCTCCAACTATCTCAAGCACACATAATCGTGATTTGATGCACTCCTTGCAAGGTTAGATGTGTCACTTTTGCAATGTTGACCTTGCG